GGAGCATCTCCGTGGCCTCCTCTGGACCCTCTCCAGTAGCTCCACGTCCTTGTGCTGTTGGATCCCAGAGCTGGAGGCAGCTCTGCAGGGGGGGCTCACAAGGGCAGAGGAGAGGGGCAGAATCCCCCCTGACCTGCTGCCCACTCCTCTTTGGATGCAGCCCAGCACACGGGGGGTTTCTGGGCTGCGAGTGCACACTGCTGGCTCATGTGCAGCTTTCCATCCACGAGAACCCCCAAGCCCTTCCCTGCAGGGCTGCTCTCAATGGATTCTTCTTCCCATCTACTCGTGCGTGGGATTGCCCAGACCCAGGTGCAGTACTTCAGAGGGCTGAATCTGCTGAAAGAGAGGACAAGGCAGAGACGAGGCCGTGCCCACCAGTGTGGGTGTTGAGCATGAGCGTGTGGCTCATGGTGCACAGACACCTGCAGTGTGTCACCAGCGCAGTCCCTGGCTGTGACAGACACCGAGGGCATCAAAGTGCTTCTCACCAGAGCCCACCTAATGCCCAAACTTGCTTGGCTGTCGGGCTGGAGGTGACCACCACAGTACAGGCAGCAGCAGTGACCACAGCAAATGGGTCCAGCTGATGCTGCACATCCACAGAAGTTTTCTTCCAGAGATTTCCTAAATTTTCTCCTTCCCAAAGTGTTACTCTTTCTTTTGCTCTGGGGACTGAGGGTGTGGCACAAATGTTGAGCCAAAGTCTGATCAGTATGGGAGGATCATGTATTGACCCTGCAGTGCCACAGCTGGAGGTGAGCAGAGACGTGGAGCAGTTTGGAGCTGAGAGAGCAGTGAATCATCACTCTTGCTGCCACCAGAGCTCCAGACATTGGTTACACCAGGGCATGTCCCACAGCAGGCTCGTAGCACATGTCCTTTGGAAGCATTATAGCTAGTGCAAGTCCCTTGAGTGGATGCACTTTGCCAGAAGACAGTGGTTTTGTCCTGATTTAACCCATCCTGCTAATTTATGGGAGCAAAATCACTCAGATGTGATCCTTCCTTTGTTCTGTAGCTAAGCATTCACTCAACAGGGGTTACCCAGCTTCTGGAGCCTGTTGAGTTGCTTTGAACACAAGCTGCAGGGCTGTTCTGGGATGCAGGCTGCTCAGGGGAGGCTGTGTCTAGACTGGAGGAGTTCTCTGAGCACTGGCTGTGCCTTTGTTTTGAGGTAACTCATATCTCTAATCTGCCTTGGAACAAAGTTTCTCAGTCCCTTTAGTCCCCACGACAACGCTTGCAGGAGAAAAGGAGGATCTGTTTAGCTTCCACCAAGCCAAGATGAACAATAGGCCAAGCAGGTGCAGGGCTTTGTTTGAGCCACCCTAACAACGTGCTCCAAGGCCAGCAACCAGAGGGAAAGCTGTGCACACACAGGGAAATCTATGCTGGGAAGTGAGAGGCTGGTCCTGGCATCAGGAGTCACTGAGTTCTGGTATTTGGCATTCAGGAAGCTTTTGAAGTATCTCCCTGATCCTACTGAAAATGTCTTATTAAAAGAGGCAAAGCATATTAATTTGGGCCCCATGCTGTGCTAATGAGTTTCACAGCTTCCAAACCAGAGCCGTGGCTTAAGGTCTTGGCAGAGTCATCACCCATCCCTGTCTGTGGGCACGTGCCCCCAGCCACAGGCAGAGACACCTCCAGGAACAAGATCCTGAAGTGCTCTGAGTCTGCTCTCACCTGTCCCCCCACCAGACAGCTTTTCATCTGCTGAATTGGGCATAGCTGGGAAACGAGGCCCTCCCCATGTTCACCACTGACAGGGAGAGCTCTTGCCCTGCTCAGCACCAAGCTCTCTCCCCACGCACAGCCATGTCCTGGGTGCTTCCTGGGATGAGGCAGGATCAGGCTGTGCCAGGGAGGAACCCCCCACATGGCATGGCCTGTGTGAGCACCCCCACATCCAGGCAGAATAGCTGCCTGCCTCGGGCTGAAAACAGACCAAGAGAAGCATTGGAAGAACACAGAGCTGGAGTGGATGATTGCCCAAGGCCAGAGACAGCTCCAGCTGAGCATCATCCCCCAGCTCTGGGAGCCTAAGCACAGGAGGAGCAAGGGGAGGGATCCCAACCTTTCCAGGAAGGCCTTCAAATGTCTCACTGGAGCACAGAGCCCAGCGAAAAACTTCCTTTGAATGGGTCCCAAGTGAGAGATGTCATGGTTACACTGCTGTGCCTGGGCATGGACACAGGGAGCACTGACACGGGGGTCCAGCAGAGTCCAGGGAAGGTGTAGCTCATCTCTCTCCCAGTAAGGCTTGGCAGCACTACAACTCATTTTCTGCTTGTTTCAGGGCAGGGTTTTTTGCTGCTGGAAGCTGCTTCTGAGCTGACACTTCTCCCTCATGTGCCTGAAGTGGGACAGGGGGAGCAGAGAACCAGCTCCCTGGCCCTCTGGTTCCCATTAGCTGGCACTGGAGTTCAGTTTTCCCAGCTCCACAGCTCCTGTGTTTCCCACGCTGGTTCTCCATGCCCCTATGTGTTCACCTCAGCGTTGAGGATGTGGATATTCACAGCAGAGGTGATCCTGCTGAACTCTCCACCTTCAATCTGGGAAGAAAAGTACTTTTACTGCTTGGATATGGCACTTTGAACAGGAATTCCTTCCCCTGCAGCTCATGACACAGGTGGGACTCTGTCCCTCCATGCTGAGAAGGAAAATTAGCCCTCAGCACACAAGGAGAGATACAGGTCAGATTCTTCAGCCTCGAAGAAAGTGCTTTTATAGCCAGATAATTCAGCTAGAGAGAGAAATGTTAATGGGAGGAATCATTTGCACTCTCTTCAAGCAAGAGTAGGGAGTTTTCAATTGGAGACAAATTTTCTCTTAGCTCCTGGCTTGTTGAACTGGGGTGCTCTGGGCTGTCTGTCCATCCAAACCATATCCATACATCACATCCAGGGTGGACATGAAGCAGTTAGAGAGAGTCCAGAGGAAGACATCAAGATAATTAGAGGCACGGAGCAGCTCTGCTGGGAGGAAAGGCTGAGAGAGTTGGGATTGTTCAGCCTGCAGAAGAGAAGGCTCCAGTGTGACCTAATTGTGGCCTCCCAGTGCCTGAAGGAGCTGACAGGAAAGATGGAGAGAGACTATTGACAAGGGCCTGGAGTGACAGGACAGGGGGAATGGCTTCAAACTGATAGTGAGTGGGTTTAGTTTGGATATTGGGAAGAAATTGTTCCCTGTGAGGGTGGGGAGGCCCTGGCACAGGTTGCCCTGAAAAGCTGTGGTTGCCCCTGGATCCCTGGAAGTGTCCAAGGCCAGGTTGGATGGGGCTTGGAGCAACCTGGGCTAGTGGAAGGTGTCTCTGCCCATGGCAGGGGGTGGGATTGGATGAGCTTTAAGGTCCCTTCCAACCCATTCTGTGCTTCTCTGACTCTGTGATTCTATGATTCAATGATCTCTGACTCCTCTGAAGAGTCCCTGGCATTTCCACTTCCCCACTGCCATCACAAGATGGCATTCCAGGCCTAAAAGCTGAGCCTGCTCAGCTGATGCTTGGAGGTCTTTTCCAGACCCCCAGGTGTCCAACGCCAGGGGAAGCTGTGGATTTAACCCTGCCTGCTGAGCTCCTCTGCCAGCTCTCAGCCCCGATATTGCCTTTTAATCACATCCCTTAATGTCAAGGCTGCACTTTAAGCACCTGGAATGAAACACTGCAACCGTTAGTGCTGTAACCTCTGAGCCACCTGATTGCACTGAGTGAAGCCAGTCATAGTTTTGACAGTTAATGGCATGCAGAGCACTTTAATCTTGGCCTGCGGCACCTCTGGCTCTTGCAGGGTCTCCTCTGCCCCGAGGAGACTCTGCTAGTCAGACCAAGCCAGGAAGTAGTTTAAGACATGGCCAAATGAAGCCAAGGGCAAACCATGAGCAAAATGTGTCTGACTCATTTTGTTGCAAAGCACTGTCAAAGGTAGAACTGCCTTTTGTTTGCCTGAGAACAATTTGAGAGAGCAATGATAAGCCTTTCAATAATTTATACCTTTAAAATAACAACAAGAACAACAACAAAAAAAGAGAAATCACTTGTCTTGGATATGATTTTTAAAAAATAAAGCTTATTTTGAGTTAGGTGCATAAAGCCCTAGTGTGGTGTGTATCACCTCTGTGTACCCCCTGCTACTTCTGCCCTCGTGGGGACACAGCTTGTCCTGAGCCACCTGCCCACCCAGGGCAGGACCCACAGCCAAGAGTCGTGGATCAGTATGGCCACATTGGTGAGGGATTTCAGGATCACCTGACACCCACAAACCCATGGGACAGGAGCCCCATTTAGGCTCAGCCCTGGAGCTTCCCTCATCCCATGGCAGATGCTGCAGGAGCACCTCGGCTCGTGGGCGTACCCCTGGGTTCCTGGACGGGCCCTCACACACATTGTAGCTGTGTCTCTTGCTGTATTTTCCAGCTGAACTTTGGATCCGTGTTATAGCTGTGCCTCCAGCCCTTGGCTCCTCTC